AGATTAATTTAATGAATTTTCTTTTGTCTAAACCATATATTTTTTAAAGAGATTAAATTAATGAAAAACTAAATTTTCTAAACCAATTTTTTTTAAAAATAAGCTTTTAAGAAAACAAATTAAATTTTAACAAAAAAGTTAAGTTTTTAAAAAAAAATTATTTTTTTAGAAGAAAGATGGAGTCCTTGCGCGCCCGCCCGGTGCGTAAAGGGGAACCACAAAAAAAAAAAGTATATTTTTTATCATAACTTTAGGGTTAAAATTATAAATTTTCTATTCTTAAAGGTTAATTTCGTCAGAAGTCCGTGTTTTGTGCCTAAAAGAATTCGCTTTAATTTCCGCACCAATCAAATATATTTTTTATAGGGGTATTTGCGGTGCGGTTTGGACGGTTTAATCCCTCATACCACAAACCAAACCTTAATGACGGTTTATAAAATTTTCAAACCGAGCGGTTTGACATCAAGTGCCCAGACCGGTCAAACTAGACCATAAAAAAGCAGTCTGGTCTGACCGGTTTAGACGGTTTGAACATTTAAATATTAAACTTAAAAAACATATATAATTTATAACTTTAGATTACATATCCATCTCGATTATGTTAGATGTTAGGCTTTATGATGGGTTTAGGGATATATTTGAGCTATATCCATAAGTTAAAAAAGTTGAAATTGCTAATATTAAAATAAATAATTATAAATTTTATATATATATATATATATATATATATATTTGGTCCAAACCGCTCAAAAAATGTTCTAGACCGCAGACTGGACCTCGCGGTTTTTATATTTTCCAAACCAAACCGCCAGACTGCTCAAACCGCAAAAAACGGTCCGGTTTGACTTGGTTCGGCCGGTTTGAGCGGTCCAACGGTTTTTTGAACACCCCTAATTTTTTAAGTATCCAGTTTTTTTCTCTTTTATCCTCTTTCCTTAGTTAAATGCCAAAACTACCCCTGGAAAACAAAGCTAAAACGTTAATAAAATGACAAATATACCCCTATAAACCAAACAGAAAAATTATCATAGATTTAGTTTTGGTAGAATGCTACCAATAAAAATGATTTCTTACTTTTCTCCCCAAAATGTAGGATCTTAACGTCCCTACAAATGAAAATGCGATCTATTCTCATCAAAATTTCCCTTCTTGAACCTGGAAAATGGATACATCACCGAAACCGAAATCGAAATCGAAGAAACCGAAATATTCAAGATTTACACAACAAGAGCTTCCGGCTTGGAAACCGATATTGACCCCAGGATGGGTCATCGCGTCATTCGTGGCCGTCGCCATCCTATTCATCCCTGCCGGCCTTTTATGTCTGTCTGCATCTGAACGTGTGGTGGAAATTGTGGACCGTTATGACGATGAATGCCTTCCGGATTCTTATAGCAACAAGGGTGATTCGTTTATTCAAAGCAAAGATACGAATAAAACCTGTGTTCGCACAATGAAAGTGCCGAGGAAAATGACTGCCCCGGTCTTTATTTACTATCAACTCGACAACTTCTACCAGAATCATCGTCGGTATGTCATCAAGCGTGCATTGCATGCAATTATCATGTTCCTTTTTGTGAAACTGGTATTTATCAAAATTCCGTGGGTCTTGTTGGAAACAACTCTTTAATGTAGAAATAAGATATGTGTACATCATATCTCTGGATCTGTCAATTTTGTATCGAGTAACAGGTAGGATATACTAAGTTTGTTTGATTTGGTTTTCTGGTATTTATAAAAAAAAACTGTGGTTTACAGCTATGTAAAGAGTAGAAGCGACAAACAACTACGAGACCGCAGTTATGCGGATGAAACGAGAGACTGCAAGCCTGAAGACAACCTAGATGGGGACGAAAACGAGCCTATAATTCCTTGTGGATTGGTTGCTTGGAGTTTGTTCAACGATACGTACAAATTATCGAAAGGAAACAAAGTTTTAGACATCAATAAAAAGGACATTGCATGGAAAAGTGATACGGAGATCAAATTCGGATCTGATGTGTACCCGAAAAACTTTCAAAAGGGAGAGTTGATCGGGGGCGGAGAACTAGACGAAACAAAACCAGTAACTACGATATTCTTTTTATTTTACGTTCAAAATTAAGTTTATTGAGTTTGAAAATTTGTTTAAGATTGTTTTCGTTATATGTTACAGTTGAGCGAGCAAGAGGATCTTATCGTGTGGATGAGAACCGCAGCGTTGCCTAACTTCAGAAAGCTTTATGGAAAAATATACTCCGATTTGGAGGCAAATGAGACGATAACGATTGTGATACAAAACAACTACAATACATATGAATTTGGGGGAGAAAAGAGGGTCGTTCTTTCGACCATGAGTTGGCTTGGTGGGAAAAACGACTTTTTTGGCATAGCGTTTCTTACGATTGGCGGAATTTGTTTATTTATGGCGATTAATTTCATACTTCTTTACGTTTGTAAACCGAGGCCTCTTGGAGATCCATCGTATTTGTCGTGGAATAGAAATCCAAACGGCCTATAAGTAGTTTTTCAATAGAAGCGATTATTTGCTGACTTGACTTGAACGCGGGCCCGTGTCTAACCTTTTTTTTTGTCTAACAACTGAAATATGATAAACCCAAGTCTCTTTTTTGGTTTTTTTTTTTGTTTTGATGAACCTGGATATCCAACCCGCTATGCGAACTGACTAATCTCAGGACGACCACCTGCTTTGCAAATAGCTCGGAGTCACCGCATTAGAACTTTCGTGGCCACAAGAAGTTTTTTATTTATTCTTGGATTTGAACCTGAGACCTCTTGGTACTTTTGACCTTTTGAGTCAAACTCAAACCAATCAGGCACCACTCTTGTGGTTTAACCTATATGTTTTTTATTTATAAAAACTGTGATCATTCAAAACCAACAGCCTTTTCTTTTTCTTTTTGAGATTTTAAGGTTATTAAGTTAAGAGTGAAATATACGTGAAACTGGAAATTGGAAGTTATTCTAAATTTAAATTATGAAATTTTAGTTCATTATAAAATATAAATGGGTTGGATTATACTTTCAGACATTTTTTTTGTCTGCCAATTAATACTAACGGGTCAGTCTGGATGGACACATCATGTTGTGAGAATAACTAGAAGAGTACTCGCACAATGCAACAACATATATCTTGATTTTAATGTTTTATTTTATTTTATTGGTCTTTGTCAATGTTATAATATGGATTTATGTGGTTTTGTGCAAGAAATAATGTTTTTTTTTTATAAAATATAAATTTAAAGATATCATAAAAATTAAGAAAATATAAAAATTCTATTTTTTGTGTAATTTTTTTAATTTAATTTTTTAATTATAATTTAATCTACGTTTAGTCACGAAGTAATTTATTTTTGGTTTAATAATATAATTTGTATAAATATAATAAGGGAAAAGTACAATAAAAACCAATGGACTTTCTTGTTTGGAATGATTAAGTCCTTAAACTTTTTTTTTGGAACAAATAAGTCCTTGGACATTCCAAAACATGTTAAATAAGTCATTGGACAATTTTTTGGAACAAATAAGTCATTGGACATTCCAAAATATGTTAAATAAGTCATTGGACAATTTTTGGAACAAATAAGTCATTGGACATTCCAAAATATGTTAAAGAAGTCCTTGGACATTCCAAAAAATGTTAAATAAGTCTTTGGACAATTTTTGGAACAAATAAGTCCTTGAACAATCC